TCTTACTGCTACTACGGGAAGGGTGTGAAGGAAATTGGCAAGAAGCTTGGGGAGCTGGTGAATTGGGTGGTTCAACTACCTCGAGTCCAAGTGGCGGTGGAGTGTGCTCTTCCGTTGATCAAGGATTGGGAGGTTGAATTCTCCAATGATGAGATTATAAAGGTGACCTTCGGTTATGAGAAGCTTGATTGCAAACATTGTCCCCGGATGTCTCATGACAAGCACTATTGCCCGGAGAAATTGCATTCCCGTAACCACCGAAGGGACACACGACGATCTTAGCCTGTGGCGGAAGGACGACGGAAACGCGAGGCTTATGCTGACATCCACAGATATGCCGGGCAAGACAATCGGAGAGTAGGGAAAGCCGCCTAGATGACTAAGCGGCGAGCTCAACGAGAACAGGAAGAATCCGGCTCTTCGGAGATGATGAACTCCCTCCATTGGTCTCGTAGGGAAAGAGGTGGCGAAGGAATCGACCCAAGCTTGGGTCAAGAAGGCTTTAAAGCCCAATCGAAGTGGAGGAGCCGATGGAATCGAGGTGGAGCTTCCGCCTCTGAAACGAGGAAAGGAAGATGTTGGAGCCACCACGATGTCTTCGGGAAAGAACCCAGGCTTTGTCTCCGAGGCGGAGGCGACGAAGACGACGGCTGGAGATTCTCAGTCGGCTACGGAGTAAGCATCGTGGTTCCGTGATTCAGTGGAAGAGGCCCAGACTCTTAATCGGGCATACGACCAGAGGAATCTTTGGAGGAGGACCGATATAACGGCCGGACACAGTCGCAAGCCAGGAGCGAAAGAATCTCAGAGACGGCGGACTAGGTCTCCGGCGGTCAATGGCGAGAGAGGATATGATTTCACCTCTCATAGAGATTATTTTAGGCCCAGACCCAATTCAAGGCAAATCAGTTTCTTCATCTATGGGCCAGTTTCAGAAAACCCAACAGGGACATACTAAAAAAGGGAAAAGGCCCACCAAGTTTTTGGGGGTGAGGAAGAAGATAGGACATAGCTCATATCCGGCTTGCAAATTCAGAAGCAGGCTTCTACGGCGTTGATAGTTTCACTTAGGGATCAAGCGACCCTTAAGTACTACTTTGATCGCCGTGCACTTACAACTGGTCTTTGTCTAGTCCGAGATAAAAGTAGATACTCATCAAAGATCAAATAGAGAGTAGTCATAGATTAACGACTAAAGAGAGACTCCGTAATGTGGTCGTTCATTAGAGACTAAGTTGTGATAATAGATTTGGTCGTACATGTGAGACGTTTTGAATACTAATACTAGAGTGGCTAATGAACGTTGATAGTTGCAAATGAATCCTTAAAGAGTCACCTTTTAACAACTAAAATGTCATTCTATTTTTGGTTTCGTCAGTGATAGTATTACAAATCAATCACAAATTTACAACGGTTTTGTGACTG